GGCTGAGATATAGTCTCAAAGTATATTTCATCTGCTTCATCTTTCTCAGAGCTGGGCTCCCTCGAGGGCCCAACTTCCTGCTCTGACAGTGTCAAAGTTCTTGCCTGATAAACAGTCAGCCAGAGCCATGTTGCAGAAACTTCAGCTGCTTTTCTGTCTGCCTACAACTACAGTGAGTGGGTGGACTCCATAGAAACACTAGCATAGCATCCATGAGAACAGGTGGAATAAAAAGAGAACCACTAAGCAGAGATCAGTGTTTTTCCACAGTGGAACATCATAGTATTAGTGCCATTGAGTAGAAGTATTGTCCAACGCAAAAGGAGCATTCCCTACTCTGCATCTTTTTGGTTTGCAACAGTGCAGAGACTGCTGAACAGCTATGTGCTGTCCACTGTGGGTGTGTTCAGTTTAACCTGTATGGGAGACTGAAAGAGATTACAGTGGGCCAGATATTGTTCATCAACTAAGCAAACATTTTAATGACACTCCCCATGCACAGGCAAACACTTGAAAACTTGTTTGTCCTGTTAAACTGGATGGGATAACTCAATGATATCTTGTTTTATTATTGGATTGTTCATTGAATTTCTATATTGGTATTGCTCGCAGGCTACAGAGGAGGCAAAAGGAAGCCTGACCATCATGTTGACAGAGACATTAACATTCCTTGGAGCCAGCAAGTTAGACTGTGATGTTTGTCAAGTATGCAGTCTGTTTCCTGGATGTCCCTGAGCTAAAACATAGCCAGAGGAAAATGATGCTTAGAGCTTCACAGTTAATGTACACCTTTCAGACAGGAAACACTTGTGTGCCTGTGCAATGCATTTTTCACTAATGCCCTTTTGGTAGATGATGCACACTTCAGATGAAAAATAAAAAGAGGGAAGGTAGCCTGACAATCCTGTGTAGGCTGGGGGACATCTGTGCCTGTGCAGGTTAGAAGTACTGAGTTCAAATATCAAGCTAAATTAGCTGAAACCTACTGACAGCAAACTGAGTAGCTTCATATTCTGTCAGAAGCAGCAGTACTTTCATTTATTCAACTGACTGAATGCCACACCAGTTCTCAGTCCTGCTCTAATCAGCCCATCTCCTCTTATCTCCTCAATTAAAGCCTCTTCCATTGCAGTAAAGGATGTGCCACTCCAACTGGAATCAGTCCTCGCCTCCTGAAGAGGATAACTCTTTCTTCTCCACTCTCACTGACTGCTTTCCGTGAATGTGCATGAGTGGGAAAGGCAGAGAAATATGTTTCTAACTATACAGGTATTTCCTCATTTTAAAGAATGTGAGAGCCTTTCTTGACATAAACAAGAGGGTCACCGTTCACAGCAGGGTTTCCTAATATTCTCACCTTCTCATGTATGTCAATGGGCAGGACAAAAATATACAGACACCTCTGAATACAATGTAGTCTAGTACAACACCACCTTTAACTATAACCTCAATAATGAACATATAATAGAATGAGTACATTTATGACAATCTCACCAAAAACTGAAACATTTTGAGCTTCATAAAAACAAATGTGCAAAGGCAGAAGTGTTATATTGAAGTGCATACAGATGTACAGGTGGTCATAATGTTATGCCAGACTGGTGTATTCCTCAGAGTATGCAACAACACAGAGAGATAACCCTGAATTCCCTTTAGAACATCACACATTTACAGCAATTTAAATTAAGGATGCACCAACACCAATACCAGTATCAGATATTGGGTCTGATACTACCCTCTAGTACTTGTACTCGTAAAAGTTGTCCGATACTACGCACCAATACCACTTAACAACATTACATTAACCTCATGCTGGCTGAGATGCTAGTGGAGAATAAATTTCAGTGGTTCATGAATATTTTAACATAAATGATGATGACAAAAATAAAGACTGACAGGCAGATAAGGGTAGTAGTAATGCATATGTTGTACCAGACCGTCATGATGAAAAAGGAGCTGATCCAAAAAGCAAAGCTCTCAATTTACCAGTCTACACTCCATGAGCTGTGGATAGTGACCGAAAGAATAAGATCAGGAATATAAGTAGCCCTACATTAGTTTCCTTCACAGGGAGTAATAGAGTGTGGCATTCGGACATCAAAAGGAACCAGTTGATGTGGTTCGGGCATTTTATCAGGATGCCTCCATACAGCAGCCAGTTTAAAGAAAGAACACTAACCCTTGTTAAATTAAACTTGCTGCTGTGGGTGGGGGTTGGAAAATAATTTTGTCCTAAAAGAGGGCTGCACTTCTACAAAAGCTAAAAACCACTGTGTAACCACTGTATGTTACACAGTTGGGTACAGACCTTCAGTCAGTTACGTTCTTTTTAATAGCATGGCAGTGCTGTGTTTATCAGTCTTCAAACTTGCATAACCTGCTGTTATATTTTATTTAATCACAATCAGAAGGTAGATCTCATGAAAATAAAAACTGTCTCAAGTTTTTTATGGTCATTACAATTGTTGTAGTAGAAACACTGAATTGTTATTAAGTATTGGTACTTTGTATCAGCGAGTACTTGGTCTGAAAAAAGTGATATCAGTGCAACACTAATTTAAACTATTCTTAAAGAGATCACCAGGTATCATTTTCTGTTTAACAAAGCAAGCCATACCACCAGTGTACCACCACTGGGTACTCTCTATGTAACCCCCAGCTATTAATAGGAAGCCAATGACAGGACCTGCCTGGATAACAAGTTGAACAGAGGATGAGAGCAGCTATTAAAAAAATAAAAATAATGGGAGATTCAGTGCTCCAGGCTCTACAAGGGCATACAGAGCATGTGTGCAGGTGAGGGTGATGCACCCAACCATGACAAACACAAAGGTTGTATAAACAGAATGTATCCACTTTACTTGGTGCTGCAGTCTAACTGACACAAGATCAGCTTCACTTGGTGTCTTTTGTTTCATACACTGTCTATCATGAACACAGAGGCCACAGTATTTTCCCTTCTTGGATGGTTTACCATGAGAAAAACAAAGACTGTAATTAGTGACAGACAACATCCACATTGACTACATCATAGTTGACCTCTCTTTCTTTCTGGAAATCAAAAGGAACAGACATAATTGAAAGCTGTCTTTTGTTGCCCATTTGGTTTCTCCCATAGGACTCATACGTGTACCACTGCAAGGCTGGTCTCTGTAAACACAAGACAGTAATGTAAGCTCTGCAATTAGGTTATGTTACAACTTCACTTTCCATTTTGTCATTAATGAAATGCCCAATTATGCTGCACAGCAGGCCATGACAAAACAGCAGAAGGTTATAATTCAAGTATCGTTACTTTAGAGCGATCTGATGTTTGCGAAACAATCTGATAATGTTATGTGGCAAAAATAGAATTACAGCAGTAGCTTAGTCAGGATAGGCTGCCATGATGAAGCATTTATGGACCTACTGAAGACATAAACAACAACCCTTTGTAGATAACCACACTAAACACAACATAGCCTTTTTTGACGCCACTGATCTAATGAGGAACAAATGGCTGGCTGATCAAAACGCTCAAAGTGTACTGAAGTGGTTCCAAAGGCAACTTGCCATTGGCAGCAAAATGTGAAATTTACAGAAAATACAGAGAAAACTTAGCAGTAGATCCAATTTGGTCAATTCATTTATAACTTGATCTGGCAGTACATTCCCAGGTTTCTATGGGTGAGGAAAATATGAGAATCTTATATAAGAAGCAGGTGCTGGAACGCACCTACTCTACACTGAAATTGGATTCAAATGCCCAGCTTTATATTTTATAATGAAGATATTTTAGATTAAAATATAGGCCTATATAATGTCTGAAGGCCAACAAAATAATGAATAAATAAAGACCACAGCATTTTTTCACTAGATATTTATTACAGGCAGTGCAGACAAGGTTCAGTAGCAGCTTCTTGATGCTGGGAAATAAGATTTAAAGGACAATTAAAATAGTGAATAAAATCTTAAAATCAAAATAAATTAAACTAAGACTTGCTTTAGTGTTTCTTGTGAAAAATTTCAAAGGGTGGTGCATGACTTCACTGGCCCATTTTTAAATGCTGGCCACAGCGTTGACTGAATTTAGGATGCTGTATTTTCACTGATCTTGGAAAACACCAGTTCTTTGCCCAATTGATGCACTTAATGAGACTCATCTGTACTGCTCAGCAGCATTTTAGTGGTTTTTTTATTATTATCATGCTCAACCTGGATTGTCCTCTGTATGCTGGCTGCTTGCAGCATTTTACCAAACATTATATTGAATACTTATTTTGAAACTAACATTTACATATGGGTTATTTTTGCCGTTATTGTTGTTATCAATGTTCCCTCTTATTTGTTGTGTTCCATGTTTTTGTCCGCTATAATAAATTTCCTCTGGAGGGACAATAAAGATCTGAACTTGATGTCTCTCCAAACATGAAAACTATCAACACACTACCAGAAACGTATAACACAATCACTGTGTTAAGCCTTTTACTTACAACCAGAATACAATAACCAGTAAGCCAATAAAAAGGTTTTTATGAAGAGAAAAGGAGCAAGAATCCAGCTGACCACACGACTCATCATTAGCGAATAAACGGACCCATTTAGAATTAATATCTGAGCCATGTACTACTTGTTAAACGTGCAAAATAATAACGTGTATAAGGTTACGCCCGTGATAGGTTACTCGACTTTCTGTCATACAGTGACACATCACCCACTGTGAAAACAACGTGTCCTTTGGCTGATTTATGACAGACGTATCAGGAAACACACGTCTACTTCATAAGGGCTCAACACTATTCGTTAAATTAAAGGAAGAGCGACGTGTAAAGCCAACTGTCATCACTCAGGTTGGCTGTTCTCACAACTGGTCAAACCAACTGATCCCGCGCGACTCTCAGACACCTTTTCTCATTTTCACTGGTTTATACATTTTAAACCCAACAAATTAGCAAAAGGAAGATGAAATGACGAACGCTATCAAAACAAAAGAATATCAATAGCCACTAGCTTCAACTCACCTGTTCAGTACTGCGACGATGCTGCTGTTGTTGGACCGTGATGATGCTGCTGCCGCCACACTCACACGACTCTCCGCCGGCTGCTGCTGCAACTGATAGGTGGAGCGTACGCAAAATGTTTGGCGCAGTACGCGAGGCGATTTTGGGAAATGTAGTCTTTCTATTAAAAACGTTGGAGGAAAGTACACAGACCCATTTCCTCCAAGTATCTACAATATATACTGTATATTGTAGATACTTGGAGGCTTTTTTGTTGTTGTTTTAAATAACTGGATATTCTTGAATAGAAACTGGCATAATCCAAACATGGTTTGCATGCAACAAGCCTTGGATCCAGCCCCAGCTAGTCTCTAACCATCTGACTACCCTCATGTGGCGGCACTGTCTTGAATCCACATCTGGGATGAGTCTGAAAAATTGATAAAGTACTGTACATTTATTTGTGAATGTAAATTTTATCTAGACAATCCTCTCTAATCCTTCAACACATGATAATGTGTCACTGTCTACTACAAGTGTGTGACAAGACACTACAACAAGCAATGTCTGTCATGACGTGGCTGCATGGCTGGACTGAAATTCACAACTCTGGGGTTAAGATGAAAAACTGCCCTCCTGTAAAGAAGACTTCAGATTGACCATGTCCAGATTCCTAAGGACACTGAAAACTGATTCAGAAGGGTGAGTGATAATTTAGTCAGGCTAGTAATGTTAATTATGCCTTTGCTGTTGTCCTAATGTCAGGTATGCTGGTTTGTGTTTAGCTCATGTGGCATCCCAACAGCCACAGTAAAGCAGTTACAATGCCGTTAAGGCAGAAAACACACTCACTGTGTTTGTCTCTCTCTGTCTGACATGGCCACAGTAGATAGACAAGCTCACAGTATCCCAAGAACTGTTGGATTTGGGGAATTTAATAAAAAGATGCCCAAGAGCTTTTCTGACACTGTTATTCAAAAAGAGGCCTTGGCCTATTGAAGAACTGGAGATTTGCTGTGTATAAACTCTAAAACCTATCAAATGGAACAAGGAATATTTGGACCCTGTTTCACATGGCAATCAGATGTATTGTGTTTCTGAGTATATACAGTATGTATGAATAATTTCTTATGCTACATGGCATTATTGACCTGTTAACCTTTTTAGGAAAATATTAAAAATTCTGCTAGTTTGGCAACATATGCTAAAGATTTAGTTATCATAAATGGACAAACATTAATATTTAACAGAAATTTGCATTATACAAACCTTTTTTTTGCAGAAGCCTTGGATCTAGCCCCAGTTGTGCAACAGGGGGAGGAGTTTGGTTTCTCACTGCTGGTTTACAGTTGTAGAACTTCCAGACACAAGGTGAGCACTGAAAAGTCTCACAAGTTCTTTTGTCTCTTTGTCCAACATGGGCGCCATGAAAATGTATAGTGTATCTATGTCTTTGCTTTTGCTTCTCATATCATACAGGTGGACGAGTTTCAGTTGCTAACCATCTGACTACTGCCATGATGTGGGACCAGTTTACAAATTTATTGACCACACATTAAAAGTCAAAAGAACAGCAAAACGGCATTAACTGATAAATTGAATTAATAAATTGTAAAATGAGACCCTTGAAATAAGGTGTCTCCCTCTTTTCTTTTTAGCTTTTGTGAATGCATTGTGCTTCTATATCTTTTATGTTATAAAGTGAGAAAAATTATTTTAAAAAGTGGCTACTTGGTTTGAATTTAGTTTGTTAATTTTACTGTTGAGATGCGTTTTTGTGAATAGTTCTCGGGTACCATCTGCCGTGAATGTTCTAATATTTATATAACACCTGAACAACTGGTGCTAGCAGGATTACAAAAAGACGGCACTGATATGGAAATTAGCGCATGACGCCATCGAGCTACTTTTCCAGCAGCTTCAGCTACTTTCCATTTACATTAGTTGCCAACTCTGGGACTACATGCGTTTAAAAAATATGGTGCCATTTGCTTTAGGCTACTTAGGCTAAATAGGCCTATAGGACTCAGCACCTCACCAAACAGCAAAAATAAATAGGATGAGTTTTTAATATAAGATTTTACATATTACATTTAACATTCGCACACTCTACATCACATGTGTCAAACTCAAGGCCCGCGGGCCACATCCGGCCCGGCGTACAGTTACATCCGGCCCGCGAAATCATTTTATATATCTTTTTTTAATGGCCCGATATGAAGCGCCGATAAGACACAAACTACAAATCCCATAATGCAGCGCAACAGCTGCCTTACCGAATGATGCCACATACCTGCGATCATTCCCGCATCAATTACGTCAGATCAATCAAGCGTCTGTTGATGTATACAACCCTAATTTCAAGTCAAAGCTAGCCCATAACAATGGCCAAGAGGAAAGTTGATTCTGAAAACAGAGCCTTTCTAAACCGGAGGGAGCCTGAGTATATGTTTACTGACATTGTCGGTAAACCTGTGTGTCTTATTTGTGGAGCTAATGTGGCTGTAATTAAGGAATATAACCTAAGACGGCACTACGAGACAAAACATCAGGACAAGCTGAAAAACGTGAATGAAGAGCAGAAGCTACAGAAGGTAGAGGAGTTGAAGAGGAATCTGACATCACAGCAGACGTTTTCACCAAAGTGAAATCACAGTGAAGCTGCTGTGAAAGCATGTGCCAAAAAGGAGGATACCGGGGCAGAGGCAAGCGGGGTTCGTGGCTGGCTCGATGCTGTTGAGTGTACGTTGGCACCAGTTGGAAAATAAAGCCTGTGAATGAGACCAAATGCTTCTGGCATCTTTGTGGAGATATCTGGCGATATCACATAAGGCTTAGCAGAAATAGGGTTGCTGATTTTAAGTTCAAGTTTATTTATTTTGTAATAATAGTGTATGCGGTCTATTTCGATTCATCTTTATTTTCAAAAGTTTTAGTCTGTTCAGTTAATTTTTATCCTGTTCGGCCCGTGACCTAAAGTGTGCTTTGAGTTTTGGCCCCCTGCGCGATTGAGTTTGACACCCCTACTCTACAGCCTCAAAAATTACCATAACAGTGATACAAAAGTATTATATATCCTCCATCAAGATAGCATTTACTGCAGGGCTGCTGATGAAACACATTACAGGTTGACTTTGTGTCGAATATGCTGACACGAACGGCTCTTATAAAAGATGGAAGGAAAAATGCTTTTTAAAATTATTTATTTTTTTAAGAAAGAGGCTTTTCTCTTCTCTTTTAATCATGTTCATATTAGTCCGCTGTCAGACATAAAAAATGTGACGAATCTGCAGCAGCTCGTTCTCGTTCGTACATTTACCGAAAGCACTGTCATTGACAAACATGGCTGGCACTACGAGCGCTTCAAAGCACTGTCATTGACAAACATGGCTGCCACTACGAGTGCTTCAAATGCTGCTGTCTCCGACTCACAAGGTCCAGCTTCGCCTGGTTCGAGTGCGGATAACCCAACGATTCAGTACAGTGTGATTCTGGACCATCTGATCGGGGACAAGAGGCCCATAAAAGACCCGAATCCCGCAGTACTGGGGGGACTGCCGGTGCCGCCTAAAAGCAACGAGCAGAAAATGATAGAGAGGGGAATGGAGAGCTGCGCCTTCAAGTCTGTTCTAGCGTGCGTGGGGGGTAAGCACTAACACTGTTATCATAATTGCTCAGTATCTTGTGTCTATGTCTGCCCATGCAGCTCCAGGTGAGTTTCAAACCAGATCTTATAACGAGGTTTTAGTGTACAGCTCTCTGGTGTCAGATCTCCGAGCTCCACTGTGAATGTGCATGGGGATTTGAAGAGGACGCTGGGATTGGGATCATTGTATGAGGTTTTGTGTGTGTGTTTTCTATAATATAGACCTGAAATGATTTGTTGGCCAGCAAACAATGATTCTTCATTTTTAAGCAAAATGTCGAGCATCATCTGATTCCAAATCATTAATAAGCATCTGCTGTTTGTCTTTGTCATATGTGATAGTAAACAGATTATTTTATGATTCTGGATTGGTATTTAGAAAGAACTGTTTTGTAATGATTATTTTCAGTATTTAATTGACCAAATCATTAATGAGTAAAGAGGAAAAGCAGCATGCATCTTGCTTTCCGCCAATCTGTACATTATTTAAACTAACTTGTAAGTCACTCATATTTGTGTTTTTGCCTTCCACAGGGTTTGTCCTTGGAGGAGCTTTTGGTATCTTCACAGCTGGCATTGATACCAATGTCGGCTTTGACCCTAAAGACCCTCTGAGAACTCCAACAGCACGGGAAGTCCTCAAAGACATGGGCCAAAGGGGGATGTCCTATGCCAAAAACTTTGCCATTGTGGGCGCCATGTTCTCCTGTACAGAGTGCATCATAGAATCAGTAGGTCATGCAAACACATCTCGAAATGCAAAGAAAACAGTATGATTGTGTTACACAGTGAGATTTAGAGATTTAAAAAAGTAAACACTTTACTAGGTGTGTGATAAGATCTCATGCCATGACATCTCGCGATATTAAAATGTGACGATATTTCATGTTGAGGCAAAAGCTCTCTTGGATTATCAGTATATAACAGAACCAGAGCAGCATGCAGCAGCCAGTGTGACAGAGTGATATGATGCGTTCACATTAGTCCGGCAAAAACACAACTCCCTGCTGTGACTTAATGCACAGGGTTGCAGGGGGAGTGTTGTAGGTGTGATAACGGCCACGTTGTGACAGGTCGCTATGAAGAGCATCATTCATGTTTCCACCCTGTGAGTTTCCGTTGTATTTTGCCTAGCCATGCTGCTAACATAGCCTACTCTAGTTTGGCACCAATTCTACCACCAGTGTGTCGCATTGAGAGATAAAAAAACACAGTTTAACATCCAGTACTAATGAAAACGCATGATGTGTCGTTATGGTGCATCAGTTACTGCTCAGATTTGACAGTGAATAGCAGTGAGTGCTCATGCTAACAAGGTAAACAAAAGCATTCTTCCTGTTGGCGTCCATGTCCAATTGTCCCCCTGTACATAATTGGTCAATGCAGCGCTTTTGCTGGATGATGTCACCATCTGGTGTGGTCTGTTGAGGGTGAAAATAGCAGAGGTCACACACGGCTTCAGTTAGAAGTTAGAAGCTCATGCAGTTATAAGGTCTGAAGAGACTCCTGTGACATCATACAGCAGAGAAGCCAGTCAGTTGAGTTTGTGGCAAAACCCTTTACAGTGTTGCATATAGTTGTCTTTTACTGCATAGGAGGATTCATCCTCAGAAAGTAGAACTGAAGTGACATTCATTACAAGATGATTAGTTAAAACATTTCAAAATGCACCTGCACTGTTCTGCTGCAGTGTTTCACAGTTTGGTCAAACATTTGTCTTGGCTTTTCTGGTAAAGGTGCATAGGGATATTACAAAGATTCTTCAAGCATGGATTGCTTAAGGATACCATTCAGTATCCTAGGTTGAATAATCAGATGTTTTGGGAACCTCCGGAATAGTTATCTTGTGCTTTTTGGTCTGACAGCGTCCTCTGGTGGGAAAAACCACTTGTTGATTTAGATTTTTCCAGGTGATGATTGCATAAGGCCTTAGCCGTCCCTGGTAGGCTAGTGGCTAAGGTGCAGCGCTCTCGCCGCTGCAGCCCGGGTTCGAATCAGGGTTGTGTCAGGAAGGACATCCGGCATAAAACATGTGCCAAATGTCAACATGCTAGTTGTCAGTGTGACGATTCACTGTGGCGAACCCTAAAAACGGGAAAAGCCAAAAGTGACTTTCTTTCTGATTGCATAAGGCCTTCAAAATAATAGTCCAAGTTATTATAGTTCACTTATAGGACCAAGTTAATTAATAATTTTAACTGGAAACCCACATTATTTCCTGGCTTTTTCTTCACTTCTTTTGTATTTGGCCTCTACAGACAAATGCCCAACAACTTTAACTTCTTTCTTGTGTCTGTTTTTCACTTGCAGCACAGAGGCAAATCTGACTGGAAGAACGCAGTGTACAGCGGTTGTGTAACTGGAGGAGCCATTGGATTCCGTGGTATATAACCTGGTATATCTACTTTGCTGTTTTAAATTAAAAGTACATTGTTTCTAATGTGTTTCTATGTTCTGTCTTGTAGCTGGTCTGAAGGCTGGGGTCCTGGGATGTGGAGGCTTTGCTGCATTTTCCGCTGCCATAGAATATTATTTGCGATGAACTATAAGGAGTGTCTCTATGGATGAGAACTTAATTGCTGCACATGTAGATGAGCCAGTGAAGACTCGCACTATGAAAAGTCCAGCCATGTAAATCTATACGTGCACATGGAGGACTGCTGCAAAAGCAGAAGTGATGTATTTGGTGGAAGTGTCAGGTTCCACTTTGTTTCCAGTGGTGACACCACAGTGGGCTACAAAAGACCTGCTTTTGTTTTCCTCCTGTGTCATTACTTTTATCTTGTGGACAGTTTGACTGAAGCAAACAACTTCATTCAGAGAATCAAGGAACCAAGCAGACTGGGTCTGCTTCTGTATTGGAGCTATAAAGATGAGAATCTCCTTCGCTCTGTGTAACGACCAACTTGGACTCAGATGAACACGGTTCTTGTTGTAGAACATGAGTATGATGTGTCAGTAACTAATCCACATCAGGATTATTTATATTAAAGCTGTTCTTTGTTCACTGTTTTTTCTCTTAATTACATCCATGACAGCAAAGTCACTGAATGCTTTTTCATTACACTACTCATTATAATTTGAATCTATCTAATGTACTGTATGTAAATATGTCCTTATTCCGGTCGGCAATTATTTTTCTCAGGTAGATAACTTTATCAAACATTTTACATGGCGTTCACTGAGTAAAACTCTTTTGGGGTTCCACCATGAGAGGCAGCCAGATCTCCAGTCCCAAGCCTCCCCTCTGCCTTTACAAAATTATAGATCAATTTGGGGCCAATGTTGTTATAAATTATGAGTACAACACAAACAAAATCACATATTAGTCTCAAGTCATTGGTGATGGCATTATTTAATAGCTTTGACAAAGCTCAGACCATTAAAAATGTACCAGTTGTTACATATAGTTAGTAGTTAGATTGACTAAATACAAATCTGCTTATTGAGCAAAACCACTGGAAAAAATCTTGCTGAGATCATCTATGATATAAATTTCTAACATTTGATTTGCACAAGACCGTTTTGTCATTAAACCTTAACTTATTTTTTGGCATTTTACACTTTAGTATGCTTTGGTTTTTTACATTATAGTGACAGTAGTACAGTAATCATCACTAAACTAGAGTGAGGGCACATAAATTGATACCATTAACTGTTAACTAACCTCTTTACAGCTTAGGTTAAATTAAAGTATGGAATATGTTGGTAAAACAGATGCTGAATGATTAAAAAAAGTGATATAATGTATCTAAGATAGTGTAGAGATTTTGTTACTATATATATCCTGTAGATATGTAACTCTCTGTGCACGTCATAGTCTCCACTTACCTTTTTGCTCTTACATCATGAACAAAAAAGCTGTTAAGCATTTTCTATAGGAACTCCAGGGTTGTTTTTCTTTTCCTGGCTCCTTGATCTCCTCCCATTGCTCCCACTAAACCTGAGACTACCATGATACTGATAGGTCCTGGAACCTCTGACCAGGACAGACTCATCACAGTACCTCTTCAAGGACCAGTATGTCATGGCTGAAAGACTCCAGGTGGCACAGTCACCTTACAGGCGACTCAGCAGGTAGAGCCAAGTTTGGCTGGGTATGGTCCTCTTCTCCTTGTGTTGAAATGTCCTTTGTAAGACACTGAACCCCTCTGACCAGTACAGCAGTTACAGTAGTAACCCCTTTATCTTGTTTCTTTGGCACCTGCGCCACAGCTGCTCTGTGAACTGACTGGTAATATTTATTTTTGGGGAGTAAATGGACTTGATCAGAAGAAGAGTTTTTTTTTGGGTGGTGTAAGTTACAAATCTACATATACATGTTTTAACAGGTCTGCCCACCATCCTTACTATACCAGGGGTTAAGTATACATGTGCTTGGCACATTTACAGACACAAGAATTAGACTTTAAAGACTACAAAATTGACCACCAGGTGGTGCAATATACAACAATTTGAAATGTTGAAAATCTAAACTCAGTTGACTGGACAAACTATTCTGAAGCCTCGTTGTACCATATAGAAAAAAACAAAAAAGAAGGAAGTCACAGTTCTGACACAATCTGCAAGTCCTCTTAGGCTGAAAATATGTAGTACAGTACATGTACATTACAATACAGTGTAGTTTTACAGTCTATTCTATAAAAATTGGGAGGATAAGGAGTGAGGGAGCCCTCACTATTCTCAAACGCATGGATATATTTTCACCATTATTAGTTATGTTACTGACCCACCTGTTCCCAAAAAGAACATTTTACTGATACTGCAGAACATTACCTCTTAAAGTGCAGATAGACTCAAGGATGGAGTATTTTGGAAACTTTTATTTTGCTAAAAAATGGGGGAAATGTTCACATTGACATTTAGCCTCAGTTTTACTGCAAACTGAAATTAGTCTCAAAGGAAAACATTTATTTTAATCTTATATTAAAAATATCAAAGGTATTCATCTAGCAGTGCTTACAGTATTTTAAGATATGTCTCAGGCTTAATAGCAGAAAGGTTGGTTTTGTACAGAACATAGATGTGTGTTTGCCAGTCATAATGAGGGCCTTGCTGAAACATCCTACCTTTGTGTTACCTGGCCTGGTTTGACTGACAAGCTGAACATGCAATGAGGGCAACTACACAAATCATCCTATAGATTACACCGCTGCAGTAAGACACTTGGAACAAGCTTGCAATGCAACAACAAGAAAAAAAAGCTAAATGTTCCATTCTCTGTATTTTTTCCCCACAACAACCCTCATGTCACAGAGTGGCCTTTCTTCTCTACATAGTGACCTGAAACCAATTGGCAGGATTTCTGGTGATCTTTTCTGGTACAGCTTACCAACCACGATCATGGCGAATGAGAAAATCTGACAAAAAAATTAACATCACTACCTGAATAAACTTCAGAAAACAGACTCCTTAGAGTATTTCTCTAGTTGCACAGAACTGTACAAGTACACATATTATATATATATTTAAAATAAATAGGGCTAATCTGGCCAAGGCCCACTGGGGAGGGCAGTCCTCTCATGTCTGTCTGTACAGAGAGAGGGACATCACCAGACTCTCAGGATCAGGACTCCCTAGCCACTTTAAAACCTCACAGGTTCTCATAGTCCCTTAAACACACACATACACACTGTCACTCAAGTGCATAGGCAACCAAACTTGCTGTTGAACAGAATTATCATACATGTAAATATCATTTCTCTTGAATGCTTTGGATCATGATAGACAAGCTGGAGCCTGAGCCTTTTGCTTTTGGAGATCATTAAACCAGTGTCTAACAAGGGCTAACAAAAAGACACCACCACACACATTTAGCAGGGATTGTGCGGTCTCATGCCAGCGGTGGCCTTCGGACCCCCCATCCTTCCCATTGTGGTCGCAGAAAGCCTCGTCGCTTTGTCGGGGTGGGGGGCTCGGCTCTCCTCATATTACAAACAGGACATGATACGTGGCTACTAGACAAAATCTCTCTCAGCACCTCCCTACAGGTTCAGCTTCGTCTCTTTTCAAGGTTGGGGGGTGGTGGTTTGGAGATGTAAGCAGGAGAGGTGTGGAGGAGGGGGCTGTACAGTTGAGACGAGCTGCCTGCTGGGAGGAGAGGTGAGGCGGGAGCACCGCGTGTTGGGGACCAAGGTTTGTATGGAGTCTCTGACTCTCTTGTCTCCAGGTGCCGCCCTGAGGAAGGTGGGTGGTGATTAAACGTCAGTGGAAAAGTAAAGTGTGTTGCGCTTCAGTTCAGCAAAGGAGATGGGAGGATGCTGCAGGTAGTAGAGCAGCACCTGGACCTACAAGCAGAGAAAACAAGTTTGTGTGATTTCAGTGTAGCCACGGATGTACAGACAACTGTCAGTAGGTGACTGAAGAAAACTCAAAAACCTGATTTATAAGCAGATATATGAACGTTTATGTACAACAGACGTCTGGAATAATTATCCCTCAGAAAGTGCAAGTCACACTGGGAACCTAAAAATATGTCTGTGTTCAGATTTGACAAAGTACCGTCTCCAAGAATGAAGAAGATTTCTGATGCAAATAGAAGACAACAATGCTATAGTTTTAAAATACCTTTGACTGCCTCCATGAGTTGTATGTCACAAGTGTAGCTGGAGACAGCGATGAGTAAGATATATTAGTAATTACTGACTGCGTATCGACGTTTTATGAATACGTGGTACTAGTACATACATGCTCTACAACAATGCTATTTTTTAATCCTTTTATGTTTTGTAGTGACAAAACCTAAGAGCTCTACTCTGGGGCTCCCTCCTCAGGGGAGGTTTTATCTCTGAGGTAATTTGGGCCTGTGTCCTCATTAGTTTTCTGTCCAAACAATTAACCATATTATGTGAACCAGACAGAAACATCTTCCCATGCTTTTTATTTCTACACAGAAACACAACCGAATAGCCTAAAAGTGAAAAGGTTTCTCTTTTGCTGGACTGGAAATGATAAATATGGATTTTGTGACTTTAATCAGTTTCATCAGACTGCCATACGTCTGGAAATTTTAAATAGTTTTACAGTTTGTTTAATTCTGCTAACGGCTAACCAGGAAAATCAGTTTCTAGTAAGTGAATTAAGATACAAGTCAGTGGACCCTGTCTTTAATTGCTACTGTAAATAGGAATTCCTATTAGAAGGAAGGTAAATAAATCACTCAGAGATTATATTGAGGATATGCTAGTGTTCTTCTGTGATGTCTGACATTTTGAATACTTATGCAACAAACATTTAGAATTGAAATAAGCTCAAATACACACACTCAGCTTCACTACAGTGGATAGCCACAGCCTCCTGCATGTGCATGCTGCCCCATTTATTATGAGTTATTCTGGATGTTGCTTATTCTGCCAAGAAAAGACATTTGTGCACAGGAAGCTCATCTCTCAGTAGAGATGAATGGATGACCCGCAGGGCAAGCAGAGCTAGGAGAATAGATCGCACTGACATGGGTCACTTTGTTACATGGGAGTAATATTCATCTGGAAAACACGTGCAGAGGCCGAGGAAATATGCACGTGTGCCTCAGTCTTACATCTAGTGACTGCCTTTCTATGTTTTATGAATAGCACTAGCACAGAGATACCTACTCAGTCTAAATTAAGATTTTAATGAAAACCAGACTTTGGCTTTGAAGGTGGAAGTGTCTCAGATACATACACAGGTTGTTTCAATGTGTAGATTTGTATTCAACTGTCAAAAAAAGTAGAACCAAAACCAAAATTCAAATGCAGTTGTGTGTAGATACCTGTGCCATGACATCATGTGACCAGATGTCGGAGGCAGAGGTGATGTGGTGTCCCTTTGTACTCTCTGACTCTGAGGGCCTGAGCAGAGTGGGGCCAAACACAGTGGCCAGGTTATGCAGCGACATCTTGTTGATGGGCTCCTTCTCAGCCACCCTGCAGGAACACACAACAACAGGCCCACTAGTCAGTACAGATGGTACTAAAACGATGGAAAGACTGCCAGGAGTTCCATTTCTAACAGTTTTCCAACCTCTTACAAAAGAAGCTTTCAAACTAAGTGATCAGTGCATTTCTTCTTAAAGGTTAACAACTGACATGTAAATAATGAAAATTAATGTGTATAGGGATAAAGTCTAAATCTGTATTTGAACAGTTTCCACACTGTTAAAAATATATGCTGTAATATAAAAATGAAAGATAAGATCAAATTCCTTTTTAATGCATCATAGGACTTTATGAAATATGTCATTTTAACCTAATGAGAAGCAGAGTTTGGTATGTGACTGCAACTTGACCTCTGGCTGTGAGGTGAGCAGAACGATGAACATTAGGTGACTGTCTAGTCGATTTAATCTGCGAGTTAGTCTGAAAATGTGTCATGAAATGGTGGGTGAAGACACTGTTTAGCCACAAGTTAACTTTTCTAATTATATCAGTAGTTTTGGTTTGATTTTACTCACGTGTCCTAACTGTCATCAGTAGGTGTCTGCATGTGTGAGGGGCTTTTGTGTACCGTTTAAGGTGCTCCAGCAGAATGAGGAAGGTCATGAGGTTGGGGTCAGGCAGGGAACGCAGGAGATGCATCATGCAGTTCTCCTTGGCTGCTGGGTCTGAGAGTGCTGTGAGGGAGAAGTTAAAGATGTTAGCTTCGATCATGGCACAACAGCTCATCGTTTCCAGCTGGTCAACATTCATTCCCTTTTAAAGCCTTGTTAAAATGGCCAACTGGTGACAAACGCACACATTCCTGGACTAATGGTCACACCTATGCCCTCCATGAAGGCGGGGTGGAGGCGATCGGTGAGCAGAGGCTCTGGTAGCTCCCTGAAGTACAGCTTTAGCGTCCCTGCTATGGCGTTAATGTCCATGTCACTCAGCATGACCAGGATGTCTTTGGTATCTAAAGGTCAGAGACAAAGACTGATTAAAAACTGAATGCAGGCCAGCCACAACACTGTGTCCAGGAATGATGTCATTGCTCAGTAACCCCACATCTAGACAGGGACAGATGCAAGCCTGCCGCGTAAGAGCAGCCATAACCGACACTGAGAGGGCAACATAAAACTGAAACACTTAACAGCTGCTGCTGCTCATCCGTCCTGGGTGTTCCCACAAGTCTATGCCCTACAGAGTGATATAGTAGTTAGAGGGTTAGGCCTCTGGGGTTACAACCCTGGGCTGCACAGCCTTTACATCTGAAACTACATTCATCTTAGAGTTCCACAAATACAGCCTTTATGCACACACTACATTTAAGGATATATAAATATATGTGTGTGATAACTCATGCACATCACATAATTTGATAGGATCGATTATTTGATGCTTCACAAATGGGATTTTACTTTTAAATGTGCTTCTGGGTTTGTATATTTCACCTAACCTGTTGGTAGTGAAGTGGGGACACTAAACAATAAACCCTCCTTCCTGAAGGTGCTACTGCTCAGTTTGTGTTCAGACTGTTTCAGAAGGGTTTCCATTCAACTGTACAGTAGAATCACTGTGGAAGATGTAGTTTGTGCTGTCGTTGAACTGTGTATTATACAAAGAGCTGTCTGTTATTTAGCCTAGCCTCAGTGATATAAAAGGGATGGACAAAATAGTAGAAACACCTGTCAGTATAACACAATACAATTCAATAGCACTACAATGGCCACTTTTCTCACTTTTACAAAAATTGTTCCATCATCTAGGTCACATTTCTTCTTCAGTTATAGATACGTAGTGTAGATTTAATTGTGATATATAAAAATAGCTTGTTTTGTGATATTATTATTGTGGGCAAACTATGATGATTGCTGTTAATAGTTGTGATACCCAGCACTACTGCACAGTAGTGACAGAAACTTGAATGCCGTCGTTTGATATCCTGTCAAGGAAGACAGTGTCACACAGGGAGTGAAGTCTTACTAGTGTCAAACGCTGTTTTGAGGGACTGGATATCAGTGGCCACCCCTGAGATCCTGTAGATTCCTACTTCGTCAATCCCCCTTTTCTCCACTTCCTCAATGCACTGACGGACTATGTAAGGCACCTTGGAGCGTTCACGCCTGTGGACATGAATAGCAGTTACACCCATGTTACCACCCAAAAAGTCCAATTTTAAAGTGATGCCAATTCTGACCTTAATAACAGGAACACACTTACTTTGTCACCACGTTGATTTTGACTCCAAACACCCCACTCTGTTTTTTGGATGGTGTTCTCTTCAAGCTAAGGTCCCGACTTGTAAACTTCATGGAGAATTCCACTTTGATCTGATGATGAACATAACACAGATGACGTAAACAGCACTGCCCTAAGAAGCCAGAACTAAACCCTTTTTTTGTCTTTGTCTGGGCAGTGATTTATATGCCTTGATAGTTGAATTCTAAGTTGTAGCTACTGATGCAATTGCGGTACTAAACATCTTCAAGCTATTCATTTGAACAGTTTTATTGTAACCATTACAGCCAAACATATTCTTTTTAGGAAAACGTTTTAATCTCAAAGTTCAACCAGATTTATAAACTAAGGTGTTCTCTTTATTCTTTTTTTGCATGTGCACACATATCTTTACTTTCAAGGAGTCAGCATCTCATAATCTAAGATATAATGCCTTTGAGAGTTGAAACTGCTTGTGTCTTACCCCGTTCATTTCTATGACATCCATGTGCCAGTTCTTGGACTGCACTGTCTGAGGATCTAGCTGAAAGACACAGAGACACAAAAACATTTGATAATAAGACTTTTAAGCAAATAAGCCAAGCTATAATTGAGATGAGAGGAAGGTGAGGGAAGGCCCCTGTGACTAATATTAACTAAGTGTTGGGTTCACTTTGAGCTGCTCTATTTAAGCTCTAAACCCGATCAAAGTGCGACTGTGGCCTGAGCCCAGTTACTACTCTTTAAAAACTACAACAACACAGTCACGTCTACTATGGGAAAGAATGATGCCACTTTTGCTTCCTCCATATGCCCACAGCAGTCTCTCAGTGTCCAGTGAGGGTTCCTAATTGGCTTAGACACTTGAACTACACACGCATTCTCCAAGTCTGCATTACATGTCTTATGATGCCCTTCCAGACATGATAGACGGCAGCTTGTTGTCGCTGTCTGTGCCCACTGTGAGGCCACAACAGCTAATGTCTTTTTTATAGGCTGTTTGAACAATCTGCACTACACCGTTTTGTCATTACATCTCTGCGTGGTGATGTGTTCAACTTAAAGGAAAATAATAATTGCTGGGTGAGGACAAGGGCAGCACACTTCTCTTATTGTCAGCATTACGCTGCAGCCATTAAAGTTCTCAGCCAGCGTATTTCATTACCTCATAAAAAGACCATTTTGCATTGGTTTCACTCATTCCTATTATTGTTAAAGTCTGTTTTCCCAGCAGGGTTTGGGTTTGAGACGAGGGACAGGTTATCACCACAAGTGGGACTTTACACAGCTACTGCCAAGAAGAGCAAAGGTCCATACTCACTGATGACACCCTTGATGCAGACACATTGGAAAACCAAAAACTGTTATCCATCTACTGTATTATCTCCATACTCACTCCTCTAAAAAAAACTGATTAACAATGACTGTACTGAAATAGGGCTGTAAAAACCAAGAGGATCCTTTACAGGCAGTAGTTATACTCAGTGACCCTTCTCAGAACCATATCCTCAATTGGGCTCCTTTTTAATAAAAAGCACTTTGAGAGGAACGCGGCCCATTTCCCCCTGGTCTGGGAACCGAGTTGGGTTAAAGGGGCGACTACAAACAGTGTGGCTACAGTGTTACAAGTAAAGGTCCTGCATAAAAATGTTACTCAAGTGAAAACCCAAAAGTATTACTATGAAAATACACGTAAAGTGCCAAAAGTAAAAGTAGTTATTATGCAGAATGGCACATTACACGTGACAGTATATCATATTATTGGATTATTATAACTGATGTATTATTGTGCATTTCACATTTAATGTTGCAGCTGGAGCTAGTTTTAACTAGCTTCTATGCTTATAATGTAAAAGACTTGACATGCTGCTGGGTAGCTCACCAAGAATCAAAGAATCACCAGAGTGTTATGAGTAAAAAGTACAATATTTGACTTTGAAATGTAGTGAAGTCAAAGTGTGAAGTAGCATAAAATGAGAATACTCAAGTAAAGTACAGATACCTCAATATTATACTTAAGTACAGCACTTAAGTCAATGTACCACAGTCCACCACTGCACGACCTCAGACTGACTGAGTAAACATGACCAAAATGTGAGGAGAAGGGCTGAATGACAAGAAACAGCTTTGGTGGAAATGAACTGCAACTTATTGGAACGATGATGTTTCCAGTCAGCTGGTTTAAATAACACTGGAGGAGGATCACAAGTTTGACTTTGGGTGACAGCTCAGTCTGGGAACTGGCAGGAAACCTCAGTGGGACTGTAGAGACAAAGCTGCCTGCAGTCTAGACACCAAAGTAGAGCAACACAGCTTGTTACACCCATTTAAAGCTGAATGTAACATTGTAATGCCTGAACAAAGGATTTACTACTTAAGGTAAATAACATACACTGTTACAGAATTACTTATGGCTGATTTAGTGTATATTAAGACCCTTTAAAGTCCCACAGATCAGCATAGACTTAGTCCTCTTTCAAGTATAATGACAAATGTCCTTTCCTGGCAAATTCTGAGCAGGATATTAACTCACACAGGCATCTGTATTTGTGCACATTCATGCCTGTGTCTAGGAAAAGATACAAGTCAGAAACAGTCTTTTACGGCTTTCTTCAGAAACATCCCAAGGCTAATGTGGTTCTGATTAGGACCACATCACTCCAGTGTCAAAGCTCCCTTTGTAGGACCATGAACACTCAGAGATGGATTATTGAAGAGAAGTTGGAACATATTACAGCCTGAAGCAAAGCACAGAAATACTTCAAGTCTAGCAGTCTGTTGTATACACTGATTATAAACCAATAATCCATGACTACTTCAGATACAGTAAATGCATGAAATCCCATTAACTCATGCATGAACCCCAAGTCATCTTCTTTAAGTACAAGTGATTGCTCTGACACCTTTCCTGTCATTACCCAAGACCAGGCCACATGTAATGAACATACCAGAGTCTCACCACATAATTACATCATTAAAGCTACCCTGCCTACAGTCCGCTGCATGGCCAGAGGCGAAGGGCCTGGTTCATCCAATAGGGGGTCACTATGGGTATTAACCTGAGTATATTTTACTGACCTGCCACTCCCCTCTTGGAGCCCTAAACTGAATCTTCTATAAGACAATTTAAAGGCAAATTTCGATGTGGATTTGAATCGTTATAAAATGGAAAATTAATACTAAAATAATTACTAATTTCCATTTGAACATAGATTATTAAATCTATAAAATAAGCATTATTGGTTTTTATAATAGTACATGCAATAACAAACATTGTATACTTTCAGACATCACCTTCTGATGTTACTTTTAAAAACCTGCAGGGCTCCTGACATGTTACTGTTTCAGATGATGATGGTAGATTTAACATTATCGTGTCTTCACCAACAAACAGCATTTGCCACCATGTTGAGGCAGGAATGGAGGGATGGAGGCCTGGCAGAGCAGGTGAACGGGGATTAAGGAAGGAGCACATGCAACTAACTGTGTCACTGACAAATTTAGACAGCAGTGAAACACAGGCAGAAAGAAAGAAACCTCCTTAATCATGTTCTTTGACCTTAAGACGTGCACACGTGTGGAGCGAGAAGGGTAGTGAATCAATACAGGACCTGTGGGTTAGCGCAGTAAAGACTGGGCTCAGTGTGTAATCCCTATTTTATCCTGCTCAGTCACCAGTGGTCAGCCTTCCTCAGGAAAGGACTGAAGCAAAGGTCAAACTAACTCTCAATTTGGATTCTTTCCTGGTTTATTTAAAAATCCTAGCTCAAAATTCTGGTGATGCACTTGTGATGAAGATGAGGAGCAGTGCTGGTTAAACATGCATAAACATGCAGTGAAATAAAGACAAAGAGGTGCATCTAGGGCTCATGTCTCCACACATAAGTTACAGTTTTAGCTGTGTGTGCAGAGCCAAGCACAGTACCAGAACAGGCTCACGTGTTGCCTTATTTTCCATACTCAAAAGGCATCTGAAGAAAAAAAGAGGCCTCCCTTACTGCTCCCACACATGGATCATAGTCCAGAACACACATCTCTGGGTAACAGATCCCTCACCACAAAGGTCATTCAGTCCAGCCTGAATGTTTTCAATGTTTACAATATTTGAACCAGCCATTTACTGCCTTTGAAGGACGAAGTGCAACAATAGGACACAATTAGAAAAAAACAATCTTACAAACACAAGGAAATGCTGATAGTTCCTGAGTAACAAAGCACTGTAGAGAAACGGCAGAAAATTCAAGTTTCATGAAAACATTATCCTTGCAATGCAAATTATACATACACAAAAACCATGCAAATGTGCCAGATGCATATTGGGGGGCTCTTTGGATAATGTGACAGTTAAATAGAGGAAGGAAAAAGCATGATCTTCGCTTGAAATGCCACAGGCCAGGGGGATTGGATCACCTCAGCCAGAAGATGGCAAAGCCTAAAATCAACAGTAGAGGGAGCCAATACGACACAAACATCTCTGCTAACCAATATAGTTTAGTTGGAAACACAACTGGTAGTTTTAAATGAAGACTAACAAAGGCTGGTGGGTGAAAACGACAGGAATGAGACAGTAGGAAGGAGGAAGCTGTTATTTCATGTTAAACATACAGTAGTTTCTAAAAAGTGGTGGCAATTTTTAATCTCTTGCTACAATGTACAGTGCAGTATCCAGGGGAAGTAAAAACCTTTTTAGTATCTGCGCTACTTATCAAAACATTAACGTCAACACACTTGTGATGGAAGATTATTATTTAACATGTGCCTTTTTAAAAGCTGAAATAGTAAGCTTAGTAATACATCTTTGCACTTCACATTAGTAAGTATAATCAAACAGATATGAGGAAAAAAGCAGAAACACAGGTTTTTCTAAAAAATAATATTCCGCATATATAAAGGATGGTGTTACAGGAGGTCACAGTGTAGCCATCTTTATATTTAGCACTTCATCACTGCCTTCACTGCAGTCAGAGGACCAATCAGAAAAGAACAATAGTCAACTCTGTGCCGAGAGAAAGATGCCCCAGGAGAAAGCGCACACACATGGAGAGGGACACACTAAACATAAAGGCCAGACACAGAGCAAACAGATGGAAGTGACAGTGATCAATACGAAAGAACAAAAGCAAGGAAAGGAAGAAACACAGCTTGTGTGTGGTCGTGATGTTGATGTGTGCATATGTCAGCCAGAGACCTTTTGTCTGAGCAGCTTGCTGCGGACGCGGCCCCATAGCTTGGCCCCGGTGTTGGTATGTCTCTTGAGCACAGGGGTTGTCGGCTGGCTGGACAGATTGTGCTGGTTCTCATCCACGCAGCAGTGCTGCTCCAGATGCTCACACACTGAGTTCAAGTTTACATCCGACACTAGGATCTCCGTCATCCCAAAGCCTCTGAATCCTTCTTCCACCAAAACACAGGTGGAGGAAGTGCGCTGCTTACAATGAAGAGGTGTGGGGGTGGGGGCTGGATCCTCACGTAACCTCTTACAGATCTTTGCTATGGCAAAAATGATCTTATTAAAGTTACATGTCACAGCCCAAGTCCTTGAGA